GCCTCGGAGGTGTTAAAAGGACCGCCGCTGCGCCGCGGAACCGATTTTGCTCGCAGATCACTGAAAACCGCTTTTCGCACGCCGCTTTGCATACCGCCTTTTGTTATTCCGCGTTTCGAAAACGCTTCCGCCGCGTTGCTTGCTGTAGCCTCTGTGCGCGCTTCTCAGACTCCTTGGCTAAAAGGAAAAACTGTAAATAACTGTACATTATACATTTTTGAATATATTTGTTTTATTTTTCAATTCTGTGCTCGTTCCCTTTCTTTTGTGGTCGTCTTCAACCTCGCGCTTTCTCGCGCTACCGCGTGCTCTCGAACATTTTTGGTCCTTCGAGCCGGATTTTCGCCGGCAACCGCGAGTTCGGGAGTGCCTCCTCCACCAGAAGACAACCATGAGTCTCGACCAGAGCAACATGGTCAGCAGCCAACACGAACTCTTCAAACGCATCTCAAGAGCCGAAGAGAACCTGAAGAAGATGGGGCAAGCGAACATCACCCTCGCCGCCATCGAGACCGCCATTTGCATCCTCGACGACCTGTGGGCAAAGTTCGAGAGTCAGCACGATCTGATTCGAAACTGCTACAAGGATTCGAGCCGCTACGCTGAAAGTGAGTACGCTCAATCAGACTTACTCGAGGCCGCCGAGATGGCTTACGTGCAGCAACGTAGCGTCCTGTCCGGCGAAGCCGACCGCCGCAAGCCCGCGCAAGCCTCCACGCCGGTGGAGCACGATAACGACCGCGCGTTAAAAACCTCGCTGCCCCGTATACAGCTGCCGCAGTTTTCGGGCGAATACGAGAAGTGGCCGTCCTTCCGTGACGTCTTTCGGTCGGTCATCGGCGATCAGTCGTCCATTTCGGCAGTCGAGCGACTGCATTACCTCCGCTCGTGTCTCAAAGGTCCGGCTGAAAATTTAATACAGTCGTTAACGATCACCAGTGAGAATTACGATCGCGCGTGGGCAATTCTCAGTAAACACTACGAGAATAAGAGGGAACTGATCCGCTCCAACTTCGCCACGTTTACCGCCGTGGCGAAGATGAAGGGAGAAACCGCAGATGAGCTGAGCCGCGTCCACAACGCCGTCACGGCCGCAGTCAATGCTCAGGAGAGCATCGGGAGGCCCATCGAGTCTCACGGAATGGACCTCTTCAACCACCTGGTTGTCGAGCTCTTCGGCCCGCGAACGCGACTTGAGTGGGAGTCCTCCACCCGCAACTCCGTCGACCCGCCGGATTATGAGGAACTCAAGGACTTCATCTCGAAGCGCATCCTCACGCTGAACGCCGCGAGACCGAAACCCGCCGCGAAAGCCCCCGATTCCACTCGGTCCGCG